TCAGAATACTGTGGATTTTGTGTGAAAGTGAAAATAACTTCACCAAGCTTTATAAGTGCTTTATAAAATGTGTGCTTGTTATATTTGTATTATACCACGTTGATATGCTTGTCAAGATTTTGCATATAATTATTAGATGGTCTGTTTTACTATTTATTTATTTTTTCATTTTAAGTTTTTACTGTTTAAAACTGTCCAAAAATTACAATTTGAAATAGTGTATTTCATAATCTAACGAGTCTTTTTTTAGCAATCACAAAATATGTTTTGTGGTGCAAATTATTTATTCTTACACTGGACTAATTTTTCAGCAAAAGTTATTTTACCTTTTGGCATGCAATTATTTTTTTTGAAGCTTAACAAGGCACTGAAAAGAATCTCCGTATATGTACACATCAGGAAAGGCTTTAGTGTTTCAAACCCTGAGTGGAATTAATGATGCTCTGTACTTTCATTCTGAAACTCATTCCAATTGGAATGACTGACCGATCCTACTGAAAACAATTGGATTGTTGTATTGGCCAATTGGTGGGTTTTATATTAATGGAATGAAACCAAAGTGTGTTGGATCATTTCAGTAGGCATTCAGAATTAAGGAGGAGAAGAAACAGCTGGCTGGGTGCAATGTTTTATAAAATACCAATAGAAGATGCACTTAATCCACATAAACTAAGGGTGCTAATACTAGACCATGGGCCAGCACAAGCCCAAAATAAATACCGGTAACAGAGAAGAGGTCCAGGCAATCCTATAGCTTCAGACACATTTATTGGTACATAACGAACACTGCAACGAGTTGACCCATTCTTGGGTCGAAACATTGCAGTGTTCCTTATTTTCCAGTAAACGTGTCTGAAGCTATAGGAGTGCCTGGACCTCTTCTCTGTTCCCAACCCAGTCCTCATGGCCAACCAGCAGTCCTTGATTTATGTATTTCCATGTTTTATTTTAATGGAGATACTGACCAAACCTGGACTGTTAGTGGGTCTTGGGCACTAGTTTGGCAACCACTGGTGTAAGGTATGAGCATAGAAGATATATTATATCAAGTTATATTTTCTGCTGTGCCAAGATATCATTTTAGTTATTCTAAATACGATAATTCTTATACAGCATAATAAATTTGCTTTGCACTACATATGAAAAAGTCAGATAATGTAGATGCTTCAACAGTAGCGATGACAACACTCATGCAAAACATGTAAAATTTAGTTTAAAATTATTTTTAATACATTATAATTATGTTTTCCACTAAACCATAATATTAATTAGATATGAAACCAGTATCATCAAAAAGATAAGGGCAACAGAAAATGTAAGGGCAAAGATTAACTAGACCAGAACATTATGGGAAATTACATATTTTCAAAATCTGCTAGCTTTTTTTTTTTCTTTTCTTTCTCTCTGTTGTTCTTCCTAATTTACTTTATTTGTCTTAAAACTGCTATGAAACACACATTTCCAGTGAATATGGTGATTAGATCATAAAATAAAGTCTTAAACTAGGTTACATTTTTGATATGATAAATGTGTTGTTAATATAACATAACTACATTCCAAATCCAGAAAATAATCCTCTAATTTCACTAATAAAAACTCTGTTATTCTACCATGTAGCCTAATTTAGATATCAAATTTGTAGTCTATATGAAGTAAAAATAAATAAATAAATAATAAAAAAACATCATCTTATTTCGCAGTTTTAACACAGCTGCAAAATAAATTTAATTTGTAATATCAAGGAAATCCTTGTACTCTGAGGCTTAATGGGGGATGCAAATTAAACATTAGATAAACCAGGGTTGCATGTTTGATGTAAGGTGGCAGCATCTGCTTGATGTAGCATGGTCCAGAATTAACCATTTGACTATGTTACGCTCCATTAAAATTCAAAGCGAAATAATATATTCATCATCGTAACAACTACCGCTTTTAAAGCATACTGCAACTACAGAACTCAAATGGACTATTCATCTAAGAGAGACACATTTTTTTGGTGTATAGCTTATAAAATAACACATTAAACTGATGTGGAATTGATGAGACTCATACTTTCCATAAATTAAAGAATTGGAGGGCAGTCCAGAGGTTGGGCTCCTCTCCCCCGGTTTCTTCTCTGATGTCCCATTTCTGTAGAGAAAGATTCAGCAGAGAAAGCTTCCCAATAAGTGCAGGTGGATTGTGATTAGACCTGCTCATGCAAACTAAAGACATGGTATTTAACCCAAATGAAAGTGCTTTGGTAGCTCTCTGTGCATTATCTACACCAGGGCTGCTCAAACATTTATAAAAGAAGTACCCCTGCAGATGTAAAAAAAAAATCCTGACACACAAAGTTTCACACAAAGGACACTGACACACACAGTTACACCCGGAGGACATAGACACATAAAACATACACACAGAGGATACTGACACACTTACATACAGAGGAAACTGGCACACACATTTATACACAGAGGACACTGACACACACATTTACACACAGAGAAAACTTACACATACTTTTACACACAGAGGACATTGACAAACACACTCATTGAGGGACACACTTTCAGTGATTTAAAACACACTGACAGACAGTTATTGAAACACACACATTCACTAAGACACACACACTCACTGAGTTGACACACATTGCCAGACACACAATCACAAAAAGACACAAACACATTCTTTCCATACACTCACAAATTATTATTATTATTTTTTTTTTTTTTACCTAATTTTCATTTCAGTTCACCCAGATTCTTATTGGAAAGCTGGAGTGGATCATTTCCCTAGTGTCTAGCGTGGATCCTTACCCTGGGGTCCAGTGGGGATACTTTCCCTAAAGTCCGGTGTGGGGCTTCTGTAATCTTCGTGCTCCTCCAGTATTGCTCCCTTGCATGCTGTTTAGTGATGCCGGGGCTGGCGTGATGTCATAACCTAGCTCCTGGCACCACCGCAGGGAGCAGTGCTGGTAGATCATGAAAATTACAGCTCCCCTGCTCACTCTGCCTTTATTCTCCCTCAGCCAGCCACCACCTGGCGTACCCAGTGCCAGTGGTGCATGAACCCCCTGGGGTACACATATACCATGGGTTGAAAAATTAGGGTCTACACTGATAGAGGATGGATAACATGGTTGCCATCAGCCTTGTGTGTGTGCATACATGTATACACACACATTAGACTGTACCCCCTATCTTTATGTATTCATGCACTGTTTAGCAATGGCACAGCATTACAATTTTCAAGACCCTGACCCTAGAAGAGATCGTTTTGAGGGCTCATCGTCTAGAGAAACACATATATGATTATCAACAGATAGACTCTTACAAACATCTAATCAGACACACATGCACATACAATTACCCATGCATAACTCTACACCAATCTAATTAGCAACCTGGTTTGAGAGCAGAGAGAAGCGGAAGTCTTAAGTGCACTGTAAAAGTAGCATGGAAAGGTAAAGCTGAAAGCAGATGGAATGGAAGCTCCACGCATGTGGCACAGTAATAATTTAAGAGTCCAGATAAGACAGCTAAGAGTGGAGTTCTATATGTATGTAACCCTTATAACTTCACCCTTGTTTGCTGGCAAAATAAATAAAGTGATGAAATGTTCTAAAGGTGAAGGGCACTGGTGGGCAAACTAGAAACATAGAAACATAGAATGTGACGGCAGATAAGAACCATTCGGTCCATCTAGTCTGCCCAATTTTCTAAAAACTTTCATTAGTCCCTAGCCTTATCTTATAGTTAGGATAGCCTTATGCCTATCCCATGCATGCTTAAACTCCCTGACTGTGTTAACCTCTACCACTTCAGCTGGAAGGCTATTCCATGCATCCACTACCCTCTCAGTAAAGTAATACTTCCTGATATTATTTTTAAACCTTTGTCCCTCTAATTTAAGACTATGTCCTCTTGTTGTGGTAGTTTTCTTCTTTTAAATATAGTCTCCTCCTTTACTGTGTTGATTCCCTTTATATATTTAAATGTTTCTATCATATCCCCCCTGTCTCGTCTTTCCTCCAAGCTATACATGTTAAGATCCTTTTAACCTTTCCTGGTAAGTTTTATCCCGCAATCCATGAACCAGTTTAGTAGCCCTTCTCTGAACCCTCTCTAAGGTATCAATATCCTTCTGAAGATACGGTCTCCAGTACTGTGTACAATACTCCAAGTGAGGTCTCACCAGTGTTCTGTATAATGGCATGAGCACTTCCCTCTTTCTACTGCTAATACCTCTCCCTATACAACCAAGCATTCTGCTAGCATTTCCTGCTGCTCTATTACATTGTCTGCCTACCTTTAAGTCATCAGAAATAATCACCCCTAAATCCCTTTCCTCATATGTTGAGGTTAGAACTCTATCAAATATTCTGTACTCTGCCCTTGGGTTTTTACGTCCAAGATGCATTATCTTGCACTTATCCACATTAAATGTCAGTTGCCACAATTCTGACCATTTTTCTAGTTTACCTAAATCATTTGTCATTTGGCTTATCCTTTTTTTGTTTTGGTACCATCTGCAAACCACCCCTGTTTTTCAATCTATCGTCAGTTCTAGGTCATATGAGTTGATCCACTGTTTTTTGTTTTTTTATTACTCTGCACAGCTATATTATATTATATAACATTATGCATATCGGTCTTATGTCTTGCATTATATGTGTCATTATTTGAAATCTATAGGCATTCCAAGGAGCTGAACAACACTATCAAAGAAAGAGAAGCCTGCCACACTTATGGGCACCAACATCTTGTGTTATTAGTCATATGTAAGGACTTTAAACACATTAATTGTACATTTGTATACATTCATTAACCTCCCTCATATGCCTTTTACATGTTGCACTTTGAATTGCCTTACATGTCATTTACATAGATCTGATGTCCCAAAGAAGCCATTCAGGACTAACATTGCATCAGTCACTTCTAAAGAGTCTTTATCTCCTGGATGCTTGTTTCAGGACAATCATTTAAGGGATTCAGTTATATCTGCATGTATATAGCTTGTCTAATATAGCTTGGTGCTACTTCTAAGTGCTGTTTCTAAGTGTGTAGTTGGAGATATTCTGGAGAGTTTTACAGAAGCTTCAACTGTCTAAGAGTTGTGCTAAGAGCTTTCTTTTCTACTGTTACAGGTAAGATTCATCTGTAGGAAAAGGTTACTGATTGCCCAAGGTTTGAATTCCTGTTGGTAATTATAAGGCATTTGATTTGATTAAGCTAGTTACTTGCTGTTGATTGCTGGTTAATTAGCTATTGTTTGCAAATAAGCAGAGGCCTACCCAGGTGTTAAACATTCCTAGTGGGCGGTGATTTAAGGAGTTATATAAGGCTTGGTCTCATTAGCTTGTGTAATATAGCTTGGTGCTACTTCTAAGTGCTGTTTCTAAGTGTGTAGTTGGAGATATTCTGGAGATAACCTGGAGGTAATCTGAGGTATTCAGGAGGATAAAGAAAAAAGTTAAGATTTGTTAGATTTAAATTATTCTCATAATTGGAATGGCAGACTTAGTTCAGTGTAACAATTGCTATGCATTTGTTTCACGTTCCACTTTTTGGAGGTTTGATTGTTGTCTAATCTGTAGACAGTTCTCTATCTTGCGGCAGGAGATTGTATTTTTTGAAGTCTGAGATTTGTAAATTATCTGGTGAAGAAACTCAGACTGGAACTGCTGCAAAGCCACTGCCGCAGAGACATACTAGGAAAGGCAGATGGATTACAGTAGGATCTGGTAGACTTAGAGTTGTGGATAAAAGGCATTTTGCACAGTCTGTTGCTCTTCATAATTCATTTTCTACACTTTCAGAGTGTAATGGTGTTGTGGAGAGAGGCACTGAGGCTAGTGGTGTTGTGGAGAGAGGCACTGAGGCTAGTGGTGTTGTGGAGAGAGGCACTGAGGCTAGAGAGGCACTGAGGCTAGTGGTGTTGTGGAGAGAGGCACTGAGGCTAGTGGTGTTGTGGGGAGAGGCACTGAGGCTAGTGGTGTTGTGGGGAGAGGCACTGAGGCTAGTGGTGTTGTGGAGAGATGCACTGAGGCTAGTGGTGTTGTGGAGAGAGGCACTGAGGCTAGTGGTGTTGTGGAGAGAGGCACTGAGGCTAGTGGTGTTGTGGAGAGAGGCACTGAGGCTAGTGGTGTTGTGGAGAGAGGCACTGAGGCTAGTGGTGTTGTGGAGAGAGGCACTGAGACTAGTGGTGTTGCGGAGAGAGGCACTGAGACTAGTGGTGTTGTGGAGACCGGCTTGGAGACTATGGTGAGGCCTAATAGAAAGCAGTTGTTGTTGGGGGATTCCATTATAAGAGGTGTGGAGATGGACAATGGTGGTCTTGTGAGGTGTCTTCCCAGAGCTACTGCTCACAGAGACAGGAGACGAATCTGTAATATTGTTAAGCAAGCAAAGCAGGAAGGGGAATTGGATGTACTTGTCCATCTAGGGACAAAATGACTTGGCTTGCAATAAGGTTTCAGAGGTTAAGGAAGTTTTTAGTGTTTTTGCCAATGATATACGGCAGGTTGCTTCCACACTGTCATTCTCTGAAGTTCTGCCTGTGCATAACACTCAGAACGACAGGCAGATGCATATTAGGGACTTTAATTTGTGGCTTGGTGAATGGTGTCGGGAGCAAGGATTTGGCTTTATTTCTCATGGTAGCTCTGTTTGGAATGGAAATAAGCTGTACAAAAAAGATGGTTTGCATCTTTCTCAAAAGGGAACAAATGTTCTCAGTGAGCAGTTCAGAGGTTTTGTTAGGATGTATTTAAACTAGGAGGGGGGGGCAAAAGGGTGATAAAACATCAATCCAATTGTCCCCCAAAAGAAGGACAGAAGGTGCCTGTAGCAAGTGTGTTAAAAAATGATAAGCTTAGAGTCATGTCTACAAATGCTCGCAGTTTAGGGAATAAGATCCATGAACTTGTGGCAATAATGGCAACTGATAGTGTAGATTTAGTCGCTGTTACTGAGACATGGTACAATGAGAAAATGACTGGGACATAGCAATACCAGGGTACTCTTTATATAGGAAAGATAGGGAAGGCAAGAAAGGGGGAGGGGTGGCCTTGTATGTGAAGGATAGCATAAAATCTAGCCTAATAAAAGTTAGTGAGGCAAACATAGAGTCCGTTTGGGCTACGTTAGAATTTGGTAATCACACAGTAACTCGTGTAGGTGTGATTTATAGGCCCCCAGGACAAATTGAAGAGTTAGATAATCTACTAGTTGAGGAAATAGTTAAAATGACAATGAAGGGGAAGTTATCATCATGGGTGACTTTAATCTTCCTGATGTAAATTGGAAAACAAAATTAGCTACTTGTGCCAGGAACACACATATTCTAAACTCACTACTGGGATTGTCTCTAAAACAAGTTGTTGAAGAGCCAACTCGTAAAGAGGCCATACTAGATTTAGTGTTAACAAATGGAGATTTGGTATCAGATGTTACTGTAGGTGAAAGTTTAGGATCCAGTGATCATCAGTCAGTGTGGTTTAATATAAGAACAGTGACTGAGTCACACCACACAAAAACAAAAGTTTTAGACTTTAGAAAAACAGACTTTTCTAAAATTAGAATATGGGTAGAGGAGTCATTATCAGACTGGAGCAATTTAAATGGAGTCCAAGAAAAATGGGATTATTTAAAAGTTGCACTATTGAAGGCAACAGAAAATTGCATTAGGCTTGTCAGTAAAAGCAAAAAATTCAAGAAACCACTGTGGTACTCCGCAGATGTGGCCAAAATAGTTAAAAACAAAAAGTTAGCATTTAGGAATTATAAAAAAACCCAGAGTGAGGAAGACAAAATGATCTATAAGATTAGGCAGAAAGAGGCTAAACAAGTTATAAGAGCTTCCAAATCACACACAGAAGAGAAAATAGCGCAGTCAGTAAAAAAGGGGGATAAAACATTTTTTAGATACATAAATGAGAAACGAAAAGTAAAACAAGGATTAGTTAGATTAAAAACAAAAGAAGGAAGGTATGTAGAAGAGGATAAAGGTCAGGCTGACTGCCTCAATGAATATTTTTGTTCTGTATTTACAGAAGAAAATCAAGGAAAGGGACCTCAGTTGAGAAAAAGGATAAATGAGTCATTTATTACACGTGAGTTTACAGAGGAAGAGGTTCTATTTCAACTGTCAAAAGTAAAGACAAATAAGTCAATGGGACCTGATGGAATACACCCAAAGCTATTAAAAGAGCTTAGTGGTGTACTAACAAAACCATTAACAGATTTATTTAATCAATCATTGTTAACAGGAGTAGTCCCAGAAGATTGGAAGTTAGCGAATGTTGTGCCCATTTACAAGAAAGGTAATAGGGAGGAGTCGGGCAACTATAGGCCAGTAAGCCTTACTTCAGTAGTGGGGAAAGTGATGAAAACCATGTTAAAGGATAGGATTGATGAACATCTAAAAACACATGGATTTCAAGATCAGAGACAACATGGGTTTACTTCAGGGAGATCATGCCAAACTAATCTTATTGATTTTTTTGATTGGGTAACTAAAATTATAGATCAGGGTGGTGCAGTAGACATTGCTTACCTAGATTTCAGTAAGGCTTTTGACACTGTTGCACATAGAAGGCTTATCAATAAACTGCAATCTTTAAGTTTGGATTCCAATATTGTTGAATGGGTAAGGCAGTGGCTGAGTGACAGGCAACAGAGGGTTGTAGTTAATGGAATATATTCGAAGCTTGGACTTGTCACCAGTGGGGTACCTCAGGGATCTGTACTTGGACCCATTCTCTTTAATATTTTTATTAGTGATATTGCAGAAGGTCTTGATGGTAAGGTATGTCTTTTTGCTGATGATACTAAGATATGTAACAGGGTTGATGTTCCAGGAGGGATAAGCCAAATGACAAATGATTTAGGTAAACTGGAAAAATGGTCAGAATTGTGGCAACTGACATTTAATGTGGATAAGTGCAAGATAATGCATCTTGGACGTAAAAACCCAAGGGCAGAGTACAGAATATTTGATAGAGTCCTAACCTCAACAATTGAGGAAAGGGATTTAGGGGTGATTATTTCTGATGACTTAAAGGTAGGCAGACAATGTAATAGAGCAGCAGGAAATACTAGCAGAATGCTTGGTTGTATAGGGAGAGGTATTAGCAGTAGAAAGAGTGCTCATGCCATTGTACAGAACACTGGTGAGACCTCACTTGGAGTATTGTACACAGTACTGGAGACCGTATCTTCAGAAGGATATTGATACCTTAGAGAGGGTTCAGAGAAGGGCTACTAAACTGGTTCATGGATTGCGGGATAAAACTTACCAGGAAAGGTTAAAGGATCTTAACATGTATAGCTTGGAGGAAAGACGAGACAGGGGGGATATGATAGAAACATTTAAATATATAAAGGGAATCAACACAGTAAAGGAGGAGACTATATTTAAAAGAAGAAAAACTACCACAACAAGAGGACATAGTCTTAAATTAGAGGGACAAAGGTTTAAAAATAATATCAGGAAGTATTACTTTACTGAGAGGGTAGTGGATGCATGGAATAGCCTTCCAGCTGAAGTGGTAGAGGTTAACACAGTAAAGGAGTTTAAGCATGCGTGGGATAGGCATAAGGCTATCCTAACTATAAGATAAGACTAGGGACTAATGAAAGTATTTAGAAAGCTGGGCAGACTAGATGGGCCGAATGGTTCTTATCTGCCGTCACATTCTATGTTTCTATGTTTCTATATGTATCTGATATGAGGTGTAACTTCCAAATTTCCAGTCTTAAAATGGGAACATATTTATTCCTTTTAACTATATTTATTAGAGGATTTTCATGGTCATTTGTCTGGATACATTGGGGTCCCCGGTGAGTGACTCTAGGCCAGCCATAGCCTGGTGGAGCATCTGGAATTTGAGGAGATGGTAGATATAGAAGCAGCAAAAGACTGCTTTCTGGAGATACTTCTAAAACAATTAATTTAGAGACCTCGTTATTCAGTAAAGGAGTGATAGAGTTTGAAGTACAACACTAACAAAGACTGCAGTACCTGAAGCTGACGTTTGATGTAGACATTGCCTGACTCCTATAGAGTTTGAATAAACATGCACACTACCAAAAAAATGTTTATTACTTATTTATTTCTGAATCCAAGATCCTGGATACAGGGGCGGACTGAGAACCCTCAGGGCCCCCGGGCAGAATAAATCAAGGGCCCCCTTACAGGACCACCCATGCTCCGCAGCAAGCACCACCCTTTTCCTGCCTCCAGCCACACCCTACACAATCTTTAGACACAAGGAACAAAAGTGCAATAATCTCTTCAAGGCCCCAGTAGAGACTACAATTGAGAGCTAATGGGCCATGGAGGGGGGTCTTTCTAGCAGAGGCTATCTCAGTGTCCTTTAGAGAGTGTGTTAGAAAGAATCTCCTCCAGGCCCCAGTATAGACTAC